ACCGGCATGCTGGCATCGGATCATCTCCACAGTAACATGGTCTGTTCGTCGTGCATTTTGCCCCCTGACAGGTCAATTATCCAACCATCCGGCTAGGGCGAACCCCCGGCTTTTTGCCCTAGAGAAGTTATGGAAAATTCACTGCAATCATCCTAGAAAGTGTCAATTCACTGGAACCAAAGATAATCCACAGCCTAGAACTCTCAACAAAACTACATGTATCCGGTGAGGCGATGTGTCTGGAACATGCTGCAATCTTCTTGGCACTTTGCCGTAATTATATTATTCTTGTAGTAGTGTATTAGAATACATGTTAAAATAGTGCATGCACTGTAGTATATTAACATCGCACGAGGGAGTACTGTTTACACCAGTCTTTGTTAACAAAACACCAAAAGTATACTACCAGCACCCCAGAAATCCATGTGGCACCGACCGATACCTATCAGCCACTTGTTATTGTGATTGTGACACCACCAGACCACCACCACCACTCTTGTCCCGGAGACGCTAGCTCGGTAGATTATTTTGGCCAATGGTCAAAGTTCTATCACAAAAGTAGCATCCAGTAATACTCGAGGGGTTCGGGCTTTCCTTTACTATCCACCATTCAGCAATCTCACCCCGCTCAGCCAGCCCCCAACACCCCTCATGGTTTTCCGACACCATTGGCAGACACTCGCGGCTGCGACGCCCCAGATCGAGGCCGACCGTCTACTCGGAGGCCTTAAGAAGTTCCGTGTTGCGAAAAGTGATCTGAAACAGTGCTATGTATGCATGAACGCCACTCCGCATCCAATGCGGATGCAGCGCCTGGCTTGCGCGTGCAAGGCCTGCGAGTCAAAATATACATCATAAGGTAGTTGTGATTTGGAAATTCATTTCTTTATACAGGTTCTGAACAAGATACTTGCATGTCAATGCGTCTCCGTTACAACTTTAATAAAATCATGCCACTTGGGACTCGCGCCGCTCAGTCACTGAGTCAGTGAGCGTGAAAGCCGAGAGACTCTGCAGCCGGCTTATGTCCGTCCTCCGTGCTCTCTAAAGCAGAGCTGCAATGATTGGGACGTGACCCAAGATGAGACGAATGGTCGTACACGAACAAAGTGACTCTTTCTTACCGCTCTTGGTTGATAAAGAGATGACTTCAACGCTAATAGCCAAATCCCACATCGACTTGATAGCGCCCCCTAAAGCAGCTTTCACCGTCACCGCTGCTCCAATCTTTGCCATGTCCGATTAATCCGAAAAGCGCGTTGGTTCTGTTGACTGTAATAAATGACGGTGGTGACATTCACCTAGGACATTACAACGCACCGTGGGGTGTACATCTACTCACATAAGGCATGCCGTCAGACAGAGCGAAGTACGAATAGTGGGTTCTACTTTAAATGTGTTCCTATTCTTTCTTGAAGGGCCTCAATGATGCAAAAGAGTACTACCGTTGTTCCACGAAACTACATCGTTCCCAAACTTAAGTATGGCTACGAGAGGGGTGGGTGGTGGATCTCCACAAGCAGCCGATAGAGTCCAGCACCAGCAATTCCGCCCATAGAATCGGCCACGATCGGGATCCAGAAGTAGTAGTTCCGAGTGGTAAAGACCTTGGAGCCCCAGCCCGCGATGGCCGTGAAGATGCGGGGGCCGAAGTCACGTGCAGGGTTCACAGCGTAGCCCGTGTTCATGCCAAAGGCCATGCCCAACGCCATGATCATTAGACAGAAGGCGAAGGGAGAACCCACGAGACCGGCAGATCTGTTGCGCTTGTCCGTGATGGCGTAGATACTGAGCACAAGCATAGCAGTACCGATGAACTCGGTGTAGAAGGCTGTGTAGTTGGAGATGTTGTCGCTCGGATACGTCGAGAAGCTGCTCTGTGTGGTCTCGCGATACGGGTCAATGACGTTGAGGTTCTGGTACTGCATGACGTAGATAATGAAAGCTCCACAGAAGGCGCCCAATAGCTGTGAGATCATGTAACCGGGTGCTTTCCACCATGGTAGACGGCCGTACACGCAATGTGCCAACGTCACGGCTGTGTTGAGGTTAGCACCACTGATGCCCTCGGAGCAGTAGACGCCGATGAGTACACCAATCCCCCAGCACATATTGATGCTGAGCCACGTGCCGTTGGCGTCGTGTGAGTTGGTCACTTGGTTGTTGACGCCCATACCGAAGACGATCATGACGAAGGTGCCGAGGAACTCGGCGAAGCACTCGCGCAGGTGCACGCTCTGAACGGCGAAACGCTGGAGACCTTGCGGTTTGGAGGTTGGGAAGGGAGCCACCGCCTTTGGGGTGGTAGGCATAGCCGCATAGCCACTCTCGACCTTGTCAACTAGGTCGTCGAAGGGCTGCGAGGCGGTGGTAGCTGTGACAGGAGCCACGTCGGGTGTGGTCAAGGTTGCGGATGGCAGTGGAGCCATGTCGACTTGAGTTTTGGTTTTAGTGTTGTTGTGCTTTGCTTGACCAGTTGGTGGTAGAATGCAGAATGGTCGAGTGCAGATCAAGCCTTGTCGTGGTGGTTTGAGTCAAACCACTGCAGAAGCCGTCAAACTTTGATGGCTTTTGCAGTGTATCAAGCGCCGATCTGTGACGAGGTGACTGCATTGCTCTCGTGCGACAGGCAGGGCCCCCGAAAAAAAAATTGACGACACAGTAATTTCAATAAATAAGCAGACATTATTTATGTTGTCACCCTAAACTAGGCTCGTGCATAATTTATGGTGGCTGCATATTACATACGGTAATTTATGCGTACAGTTTCCTGAAGTTATCTGCAGCAGTCAATCGATCGCCACGAACCAGTCGTTTTGTTGCCGAATCGGCTGATCTCAGCAGACTCATTTCCTTTTCTCTCACTTCCCACTTTAGAAATGATTCTCTTCCTGCGCGAAAATGCTGGTTACTGAGACGCACAAACACTTGACACCGCAACTCGAGCGTAGATACCTGTTATTGATTCAATAAACCTTGGTTATTGCAGCAGTAACTCAATTATTTATTGGTCTTCTAGCTAAAGCATCATAACGTATTGCCAACATACAAGCTAGCTTCGCGATAATTTATCGTGAAGATGCTACTACGATAAATAACAATATCATTTTCGGACCCCCTGGCGACAGGGCTCGGTCGATTATTTGCTCGTTAATTTCGGTCTATTCCTATGTGCTCGGACTATGCTCGTTTCTATCAATGTGACTTGGTCGCTGTATGGTCCAAGGTGCGTACCTAATGCGTTTTTCTGCTTCGGTGCGATATCCTGTGGAGCCTCCAAGCAAGCAAGTTGCTGGCGTCCCACCGACAAAGCTTCTTGAGATAGTGTGGTATAGCAAAATAGGCGGAATTGAGATGATATTGTGGACTATTAGTTGAGGTGCACATGTGTGTGAGGCGATAAAAACCGGCGCCCTTGACACATCGGGCAGGGCCATCTCGATTGCAAACGCAGTCTGTAGCAAGAACACCGCAGTGCTAGCAGGGTGGGTTTGACCAGAGACAGTAGAGAGTGGAATCTATGTTAGATGAGCGCTTCAGATTTTGCTTCAGTTTCGATCAGGCGAGTGTAGAAAAACTACCAGCTATTTATAAAATA